GAACTAAAATATTCTTTCTGTCATGATTTATGGACATTAAGATCTAAAGAGAAGCATCATCTCCTGGTCAGACCCTGTAATTCAGTGAAAGGGTGGAGTCACACAATTCATAGCAACAGAAACAAGAAGGAACTCATACTAATTAACTGCAGCACTGAATTCAGGTTTTCACAAATAAGCTTCATAAAATTGGGAGTTTTTTTTAGGATAAATCTAATCTAAAAAAAACTGATCTACTTTTTTAATCAGTTTGTAAAAATAGTGGATTCAGTGACAGAAAAAAAAAACAGTAGAAAATAGCTGCCATAATTGGTTTAACTTTTCTATTTTTGGCAAACAAACTGGTGAAGAATATATAAAACTAATGGTCGATGGTCAGAATGGTTGTCAATATATCCTTTTTTCCCCCCATGTAAAAGTCTCATTGAAGTTAAAAGTCTCATGCCTGTGTAAAAGTTAAAGTTTCTTTTCCAAAACTTTCCACAAGTTTGACCTTTTAACTTTCAAGATGCCATCCCTGACTCTATGTACAAGATCATCATAATAATTTAACTTAACCCATCCCCTTGGGGAGCAGTGGGCTGCCATTGTGTGGCGCCCGGGAGCAGTGTGGGGTTAAGGGTCTTGCTCAGGGACTCAGAATTAGTAGGACTTGTAGGGGATAGAACTGGGTACTTGTAACTTACTGGAAAAAAATGAAATCTAGATAAGTCATTTTTTCTTAAAATAAGTGCATTATTTCTTGGATTGAGGAGGTAAAAGAGACATTTTGCCAATAGAACGAGATAATTTACATTTAAAATAAGAAAACACAATGATAATTGTCTTATTTCAAATGCATTTTATCTAAATATCTTATTTCAAGAATAAAAAACTCATTCCATTGGCAAACTATCTCATTTACCTACTCAAATTAAGGGTAAATACGTTTAATTTAAGACTTTTTTTTACTTATTTCTAGATCGTTTTTCCAGTGCATCCTCAGAGCACAAGCGCCCTGCTCTAACCCACTAGGCCAACACTCCCAAAGATGTAAACTACAACTGAAAACCTTCATTTTACATTATATTTTCAAACACAGAGGAACAAACTCATCATAAAGCTAAATAGCATCTATTTTATCATCTAATAGAATCTAATACCAGAATTAATCCTAAAATTAATCCCTGAAATTTGATCTAAAGGAGGTAATAAAAATACACCTAGAGTAAAATATTTGTATGCTTAGATACTGCATGACTGCATTAGATTTGAATCACACATTACATCAGATTCTTAAAGATGAGTGGTTTTTGCAACACATAGTTTTATGGGGGGAAAAAATACCACCTGGTGAAAGCTGGTTATGATTTTAAGGCAGCAATGGAAAAAGCTGCTTTCATTATGATTCTCATTTACTCTCTGCAGCGCCGTGAAGTGGCTAAAGCCGTTTTCTGTCTGGTGGTGATCTTCGCACTCTGCTGGTTTCCGCTTCACCTGAGTCGACTTCTAAAGAAAACCGTCTACAAACCGCATGATGTTCACCGCTGCGAACTCTTGAAGTCGGTGCAAAGCTTAAAGTAAATATGGAGCCATTTCTCATTCTCTGGTTCTATTTTCAAAGCCTCTCTTCTGTTGGTTGCAGCCTGCTGCTGGTGCTCGACTACTTCAGCATCAACATGGCGACCATAAACTCCTGTATCAATCCCATCATCCTCTTCTTTGTCTCTAAGAAGTTCAAGAACTGCTTTAAGGTAAGACATCTCGGTGCTTTGTGTGTGACCACAGTGGTCATCGGGTCCTGAGAGACAGATTTCAGACTGTGGGTTTTTACGATGTTATGAGATAGCAGCTATCAGCGGGACAGTAGGGAGTCGATTGACACAGATGGGTCGCGACCCGTGATAAACAGTTTGTGGGAAGAATGCTTGTTTAGAGGGACACTCCTCTCATATGTGACATGTTTACTATCTTGTTCTTTTTATATATTCTGAGAATATTAGAAGAACTATTTCTCTCTCTGAGCCCCATACTGTTTGTTTCAAATGAAAACAACAATTACGCAATTCATTTAGCAGTTAACGTTAACAGGATTGTTGTTTCTGACAAATAAGGAACCAGATTCAACTAAAGTGAGCTGACACATTATTTAGAGATCTGTAGTAAAATGCAAAGATTGAAAAAAAAGGATAAATTTGATGTAAATAAATGCAGTCCAGTGCCCACAGTATAATACTGCCACCATCATGTTTCACCTTGGAATGAAGTGCAATATTAGTTTTCCACCATGCATGTTGTTATACAAGTAAGTCAAACAGTTTTATTTTAGTCTGAACAGATGAGAGCACGAGCGGGCTAGCTCAACAGGTAAGTAAGTCGTCCTGCTAACAGGAAGCCTGGGTTCGGATCCCAGCTGGAAGGAGTGAGCTGCCAGTGTGGGTCCTTAGGCAAGGCTCTTCATGCTAATGTCTTCTTTCTCGTTCTGAGTTTAAGCCGTACTCCCATAACCTGACACTCTGGCTCCCCGAGCAAGACCCTTAACTGCTCCCTGAGCATCATCGAGAGTTGATTTTGTTGCTTTGTACTTGTGACAATAAAAATGTTCGGAAAAAAAAACTCCCACATGTTAGAATAGATATTATGTCAACAAAATGTCCCACCTGAGCTGCAGATCTCTACAGCTCCTCCAAGTTATAGTGAGGGTCTTGGCTGTTCTGATTAAAGCCCTTCTCCTCCATTCAGTCAGTGTTCATTGAAAATTTAAACTATAATAGGAAATAGAACAATCTTTTAAATGGGTTTCATTACATGATTGTTCATTTCAATCTGAAGCTGGTTAAATTTTCCCTAAAGAATGACATTCCTAAACAGGAAAAAAGTTTGGTTAATATTTTTTTAAATTAATGGATATTTGCCTTAGAACAAATTAAAAATGTTAGTGCCTTGTATTCCTGAATTATTGTTCTACCGGTATATTGTAAAAAAAAAAAAAAAATAAATAAAAATGCTTTTAAAAGTGAAAGATGGAGACTGCAGGCTTATTTACAGTTTGGTTGCTGAAAAACGCAGAATATAATATCACCTTAAATGAAAAAGATATTAGAATAACTTCCTCGTTTTCAACAAACGATGAATACTATTTGAAACAGTCAGATTTTCCACCCTTTCCTCATTATAAATAACATTTCTCCAACTCTTTAGGTTTTTATTTCTTGTAAATTACATCACAATTTTAACATATTCTTTAAAAATAACAAGATAGTTTATTGGAATACCTTTTAATGAGGGTCCTATTTATTATTTAGGCTGTTAACAGGATAAAATAAGTGATAAATTATTTCTTTATTTGTAAAATCCTGTTGGTTCCAGTCGATGGGATGTTATAGTTTTTTTCTGGCAACAGGAATGGATATAAATGCATTTTTTGGTGTCAGCCTGACCCCCTGCCACAGCTTCTCCATCAGGGTTTATCTTCATTCTGATGGTCATTATTTCTAGCTCTGGACGTGGCGTTCTCAGCCTGTCTGTCTGTGGAAGCGGCCGTATCGGCTGATTTTGCCTTATGTGGCTCTCGAAGAGCATCCAGAACTTTGTTAAAAATTTCAGGCATGTCATCCAGGTTATCTTGCCTCGGCCTTGGAGATTAGAAATTCATTAGGTCAAAAGAGGTGAAGTCTTTTTCCTGGAAATGAAGCTGTCATAAAAAAAAGCTGACATCACAAATATGGGAATGAACATGGGATTCTGTTAAGATACGATCTGCTTTAAAAGGAAATGTCAACAGTAAATTCAGACACATTTTGGAAATGAATTAAACTGAAAACCAAAAGCTGGTTGTAAATTGTCTTATCTCTGCGAGCCTCTCTCCTTAACTCCCACTAGAAACTCCAGCGTTGGTAAAAATGCTTCAGCCGGTTATTATTCTGCACCTAGACTGCTATGGGACAGATTATTGGTACAAGACATAAATTCACATAATTTGGATTTAAACATCACTGAGAGAGACATGGATATTAAACTATAATACATTTATCAGTCTTGGTTACATAATGGAGATCGTTTAATGTTGCCTCTTTCTGTTTGTATCTAATTATCTGAATTTCTTCTTAACTGGCTAAAAAGAAAAATTATAATTATCTGAAAGCAGACTAAAGATGATGCGTTGAATCAAAGGGTAGCGGATCAATATATTGTTACTGATACATCCTTTATTGAATTAATGTTCCTATTGGTTTAATATGTTCAGAAAGTTACAGAAGACGCAAAATCTAATTTCCTATAGAAACCAAAACTCTTTTTATTGACCTTTTCTGAATAAATAGATCAGTACGGAAGAGAATTAGGGCCACTTAAAAAAAGACGTTAGCTGATTTTTACATTTTATTTCTTTAAATTTTATTTCAGTTTAATATGGGAAAAAAAGTCTGACTTTTTTCCCATATTAAACTGAAATAAGATTAAAAAATGAGTTAACTTTTTTTATTTTTTCAGTGGCCCAAATCCTCTTCCATAGGTCAGTCAAACCTATCTTAAAGGAATAGTACACCCAAAACATGATTAGCCTTCATTTTCTACTCACCCCCATGCTGAACAACACTCTGGAGTACTTTTTTGATATCTCAAATGCATCTGGAGATCTGGGAGGCTTCTTGCTGTCTGCTGACATTCAAATAATGGAGGTCTATGGCGCCCGAGACAGAAAGGTCCATAAAAGTCCACAAAAAACGTGTCAATATTCCTCCATACTGCTCGTCCAATGTAATCCAAGTGTCCTGAGTGGGTAGCATCCAGGATTTACTCGAAACGAAGTCATTTAGAACGTTTTAGAGCCTAAACAGTAGTGTATAGGATTTCCTAATAGCGCCCCCATGAGCGCTCACGATTCTACGGAAGCCGGCAGACCAAACCAACGCATTCAGCTCGGCAAAGAACTCATGCTCTTCCTCAACACTGAAGTCCTCAGACATTTTTCTTTCGTTGTTTCTTTCTTTGCACAGGTAAACAGCACATTTCTTCTTCTACGCTTGCATTATCGGCAGAGCAGACGCTGAATGCGCACTTTCATCTGGTTTGGTCTGCCGGCTTCCATAGAATCGTGAGCGCGCATGGGGGCGCTATTAGGAAATCCTATACACTACTGTTTAGGCTCTAAAACGTTCTAAATGACTTCGTTTCGAGTAAATTCTGGATGCTACCCACTCAGGACACTTGGAATACATTGGACGAGCAGTATGGAGGAATATTGACACGTTTTTTGTGGACTTTTATGGACCTTTCTGTCTCGGGCGCCATAGACCTCCATTATTTGAATGTCAGCAGACGGCAAGAAGCCTCCCAGATCTCCAGATGCATTTGAGATATCAAAAAAGTACTCCAGAGTGTTGTTCAGCATGGGGGTGAGTAGAAAATGAAGGCTAATCATGTTTTGGGTGTACTATTCCTTTAAACTAGTTAATTTCTGCAGTTACTTTAGTTGAGTTATATGCCTATGATATTGACAATTTCAACAAAAGGTTTAATTTACAAACATCCTTTCATATTTTTAAAAGGAAAAACATAATTTTGATTTATTCAGCACTTTAATCAGACTATTATTTCGTCCTCTTGTAAAATCTTAATTGTTCTTCAAGTTTATATAATAGTTTTTCAAAGAGTTGAAAGTATTTGGAGTTTTTTCCAGAGCCTTTTTTAAAGTGAATCATTTTATTGTTATTAAGCCTCTTGATGAGAAGTTTCTGAATGCAAAAGATGAACTGGGTTTAGTTATGTACAGTGTAATAACCAAATGATCGAAGAATTAGCCTCCAAATATAGATGTCCATATCATTTTAGACATTTTTTAATTTCAGTTTTGTCTTTTTTGTAGAAATAATTTAGCAACTGGACCTTTTTCAGCCTGTCTAGCCTAAACTTGAATGTTGAGCAGCATTTTAAACCCATTTGATCAATCCCAACCCGCTTTTGTCCACATTTGCACATCAATAGATAGTATTAAAGAGATATCTGTTCATCTCTCTTTTTCCAAGATATTTTACTCAGAGGTGTAGCTCTAAATTTTTACTTTTGCAATGTGCTGCCTGTATCCTCTTATAAGTAATTTGTTTTAAAACACTTCTGTCTAAGATCAAGAAATTTTTTAACAATTATAAAAAAATATAGCAACCTTCAGGTGAAATGTCCCTATAAAAAAAATCAGAATTTTGCCCATAAAGTCTTTGCTTTAATTCTAAAAGTGCTTTTCTGTCTCTCTATATTTTCCCACAGTCCTGCCTGTGTTGCTGGTGTTACCATGGCTCCCTCTCCAACAGCATGCAGCCCCTCCATCACGGCACCAGCCAGCAGTACAAACACACCGACCACTGAACGACTCCCCTCCACCGGAAGGACGTTCGGCAGCCTGTCCAGCAGAAATGTATTCACTTCTAATATGTGCACATGACCTGTACAGCTCTGACAGCCCTCTTTTGAGGTTGGGAGACCTCTAAATATCACAGGATATGAGATTTAAAACAGAATTTGAGCTTTCAGTTTGTAAAGAGTTGGTGGTTCAAGCCCTGCTTCTGGCTTTCAATGTCGATATTAACAATTCTGTTGCTCAAAGTTACCAATTTGTATTTTTTTCCCCTTTTACCAATATAGATTGGTTATAAACACTACCAAATTAAATAGGTTATTTTAACCAAAGGATTGGTTGGACACATAACTACCTACCAAATTTTTAATCGATTAGACTGTTTTTAGGGTGTTATTTTGTTAAAAAATAATTTCTTAACTCTTGCTTCTCAGTGTTAAAGGTTACATTTCACTCATTTCTTTAGTGAGAGGTTATGCTACTGTAAAAAAGCTGAATTTATTTCACAGCCTTGTTATCATGCTTCTCTAAAGATTCCTTTGACACCATAGAGATCAGAAGAACTGTAAAGCCAGATAATGTTCTTTATTTATTATTTTGTCTATTTTTAAGTGCCTCGTTTGTTGCTTTTCATCAGTCACCAGTCGGCTTCTCTCTGTTCTTAACCAGTAATTATGATGTAGTTCCTGATGGAGGAAGGAAAAAAGGGAGAACTAAGAGCTGCAGAATGACAGCGTTAACAAGGACATGATGGATTTTTCAGATTTCCACATCAACTAGAAGTGACTATGGTTGAATTGAATGGAAAAGGAGAGATTAAATATGTTTTTGTGTGATTATGCCTTAATAACAACAATTTGTCCCCATACAGATATGTTGGACCTCTTGTGGCTCTGTAGAAACCTTAAAACAGAACTATCAACATAACTCTGCTCTTTCGTTGTATCCTATTTTCTGCTGTGTTTTATTTAATATATCTAACTGCAATAAGTTTGTATACATCCGAGGAAAAGCAGCAATTATCTGTGTTACAGTGGCCTCTGGAGGCCGAAGCTAGTATTACACTTATTACATTCTGTCAATCCGAGTTTACTTCTAAAGGAAATCCTTTGTTTCATTATAGACACACTTATGTATAAAGGGAAACTTATTGTGGTGCTTTGAGGGCTACCAAAACAACTAAAATGTCATCAAAGTAATTTCATCTACAGTTTATTTGTTGTGTTGTTTTTATTAGATGTTGTATTTATCAATAAAGCTTTACCAGCAACTACAAACACCATGATTATTTGTTTTCTTAAGGATTGATCCGTTATCAGTTCATAAATGCTAATTTGCATTATGATTTTTATTATCTGTTATTTCCAGAGGTGGGTAGAGTATTCATAAAACTGTACTTAGGTAAAAGTAGAACTACTTCATCATATTTTTACTTAAAGGAAAATTCCGGTTTTTAACACTTTTAGCCCATTTTCTGTAGTGTCCAGGATGAAATCGAATGATCGACACCAACATTTTGACAATTGGTCCTGTCTCTGCTTTTTGGCTCATTTAGAATCACCCCCTGGCTGCTTCAGAATGGCTTCCATAGTGCATGTCCGATAATGTCCTTAAAACAACCTTAAACGTTCTTTTTTTTAAATATGCTACTCACCGGGTCATCAGCGCTGTTCAATGACGTTCCAAAAAAAGTTTCGTAAAGAAAAAACGTTCCTGTAGTGTTTTATTTAGCATTTTGTAAATCCCATTGAGTTCTGTTGGAATAGTCAATATCCCTCCGCCACCGGAAACGGAAATGGGGCCTGTTTACACTTAGTTGTAGTCTTTTCGCTTCACTCTTTGTACTCCGACGTCGAGGTGCTAACGTCTCTGTTAAACACTTTAAAAAACTCTGAAAATGGAATATGAAAGGTGGATTCTTGAGGAGGACATATTGGACTTTGAGTTTGACGGTAGAGGATACCGTTTTGAACCGGAATATACTGAGGAGGAGTATATAGAGACATTGTCGCCAACTAGTGGTCTGGAGTGTGCAACGCTTCAGATTCGAACGGGAAGCGGAAGTTTATAAGCGGTTGTGATGTATCGGAAAAAATAGTTCTGGGATTTACAAAATGCTAAATAAAACAAGACAGGAACGTTTTTTCTTTACGAAACTTTTTTTGGAACGTCATTGAACAGCGCTGACGACCCGGTGAGTAGCATATTTAAAAAAAAGAACGTTTAAGGTTGTTTTAAGGACATTATCGGACATGCACAATGGAAGCCATTCTGAAGCAGCCAGGGGGGGATTCTGCATGAGCCAAAAAGCAGAGACAGGAGCAATTGTCAAAATTTTGGTGTCGATCATTCGAATGCATCCTGGACACTACAGAAAATGGGCTTAAAGTGTTAAAAACTGGAATTTTCCTTTAAAGTAAAAAGTATCCTACTATCCTACTACTTAATTAAGAGTAAAAACAGTTGGTAAAAAGGCTTCTTAAGTACTGATTACGGTAACTGATCTACTGACTAACCATGGTCATAACAACTAATTTGATATTTTCTGAATTATGAAACTTACAAAATCAATAGTTACAGTTTGCAGAATTGGTAAAATTACAGCACACTGTTTACTGTATTTTCACTCAACCTCCAAATGACACAGCAGACCCAGTGAATGGAAAATAACATTGAACTAAGTAGCCTTGAGTTTGAAAAAAGAAGAAAGTGTGTAAGTAGTTTTTCACTAAGTGAAGTTACTCACAATGCATGAAGGAGCCAGACATTTTACTCAAGTAAAAGTAGCGATCACTTGAACCCCAGTCGGCCTCTGAGCCTGGTTCTGCTGGAGGTTTCTTCCTGTTAAAAGGGAGTTTTTTCTCTTCACTGTCGCTACAAGCATGCTTAGTGAGAGGGATTGCCTTCGAGTCAATGAGTTGATGCAATCAACTATTTTTCCTTAGAAAACTTTGATTCAATTTGACTGTATGATCTGGTGAACTTTAAAGTGCCTTGAGATGACGTGTTGTGAATTGGTGCTATATAAATAAAAAGTGATTTTTATTAATCAGGGAAGAAATGTAAGTTGCATTTACTAATATATTATTGCATTTATTAATAAATTAGATGCATTTATTAATCTAATGTGTTTTCAAATCCTGTTTCTTAACAGAGATTTACACAATCACAATTTATAAATCTGATTTTAAATACCTTTCCAATTGGAGCATTAAACGAATTTGTTTCCTTTTTCCACATCCATTTTCTTTTCATCTTGCATCTTTAGTCCTTTTTGCAATTACTTTTTTTTTGTGTGTAGAGTTTCTCTTTCTATTTGGCTTCTTCAACTAATCACAGTTGATTTTTGGATGTAACCAACTCTCTCATAATAATGCCACACTGTGGCATCTGTGTTTGGTTGAACTTGGTTACTGTAGGTCTGACATTCCCAAAATGTTATGCCATTATTGAAGAAAATTTCTTAATTTTTAAGACAAAAATTGTAAGGTTATACAATTTTTGTCTTTTTTGAAGAAAAAAATCCAAATAATAAATAATAATTTCTTATAATTTATTGAAATTCAGCCCCATGTTTATTTATATTTTCTCCCTGCTATTATAACCTAGTTAGAGAGTAAACATCCCAGCCTGTGTCTGGGCCCCGCCCACCATGAGGCTGATGGGAGCTGCCTCCGCTTCCTCCCGGTGACGTCTGGCCGTAAAGGCGGCGGATCAGCTGCTGAGCGGAGCCCTCGGACCTGACGGTCGTTGTGCGGATTTATCGACCGCTGATCAAAGAGGAGTTCATTAAAAAGACCCGAACCGGACCGCTGAGCGTCAGTTTGGCCGTTCACGGTGTCGGATGGAGGAGGGATGCGTTGCCTAGAAACAGAGAGCGGAGGAGGGCGGAAACAGGCCGAGCATCACTGCAAGTAAACAACCCTCTGCCGCAACAGCTTTAACCTGTTTACACTACAATCCTGATTGCTTTTACTGAAACAATAAAAGGATAAATGCTTTCATTTTAGCTTGTTTTTAAAACACGACTTAAACACATGGTTGGTCCAGAGAGAAATAGCTTACATGGTGCTGTAGTCCTACCGCTCTATTTTCTACGGAAGTGGATAAGGGCCACTGAAAAAACAAAAAAAAGTTAACGGATTTTTTTATTTTGTTTCAGTACAATAGAAGTAAAAACTGACTTTTTTTCTCAGAATTCTGACTTTAATCTCAGAAATGTATTTTTTTTCCCCTCAGAATTCTGACTTTAATCTCAGAAT